TTGTATACCAGAAAGGCAAACTCAATGTGGTGCCTGACGCACTGTCCCGACGCCCCGACTACCAATTGGCGTCACTGTACGAGTCGACTGTCAGTGTCGACAACACGATGCTGGATGTTGTCCGAGACAACATCGCCAACGACAAACAGTTCGGAGAACTGTTCCGAAAGGTGTCTAAGCTCCCCAAGGACGACGAATCATCCGAGTACACAGTGCGTGATGGCCTGCTCCTCCTGAAGAAGGACAGCCGTGTCTGTGTGCCGGACATTCCGTCGTTGAAGACCAAGTTGCTCCAAGAGGTCCACGACTCGCCCCTCGCTGGACACTTTGGAGTCGAGAAGACATACGACCGACTGGCCAAAGTCGCATACTGGCCTGGAATGAAGCGCACCGTCGAGAAGTACATCGAGTCCTGCCATACCTGCAAGATGGTCAAGTCACGCACGACCCGAGAGCAAGGATTGCTGCAACCCCTGCCTGTTCCCGACCGCCCCTGGACCAGCATGTCCATGGATCTCATCACGCATCTACCGACGACCAAGTTGGACCACGATGCAATCGCTGTCTTTGTCGACAGGTTCAGCAAGATGGCACACTTTGTGCCGTGCCAGACGACATGCTCCGCGCCTGACCTTGCACTGCTGTTCTTCAAGCATGTGTTCAAGCACCACGGCCTCCCAAAGTCCATCGTCAGTGATCGAGACCCCCGATTCACCTCCTTGTTTTGGACAAGTCTGTTCGACCATCTCGGCACCAAGCTGAACATGTCAACCTCGCACCACCAACAAACGGATGGACAGTCCGAGCGGACGATCCGCACCCTCGAGCAATACCTGAGGACATACGCCTCGACCAGCCAAGACGACTGGGACATACAGCTGAGTCATGCAGAGTTTGCATACAACACCGCCAAGTCGAGCACAACTGGCTTGAGCCCCTTTGAGGCGCTCTACGGATTCCAGCCTGATGTTCCCACCTCCTTGACACTGACCGAGTCCACGGCTGGATTGCCTCCCAAACCAAGTGCCTTTGTCAAAGATCATCAAGTCCGACACAAGATGATCGCCGACGCGCTCACGGATGCGCAACAAGTGATGGCGAAGTACTACGACCGCCGACACCAGGATGTCTCCTTTGAAGTTGGAGACCTTGTCTACCTGGACGCCGACAACATCAAGGTCCCCGAAGCCCAGTCAAAGAAGTTGTTGCCCAAGTACCGAGGACCGTTCAAGATAGCGGCCCGACCCAGTCCCCTCAACTACCTGTTGGACTTGCCACCTGGAAGCAAGCTCCATCCTGTCTTCCATGTGTCCAAGCTGCGTCGCCACACGACCCGCAGTCCAGCACAGTTCCCCGACGCCGACGAAGGTGTCCCGGACGACGCACCACTGGAAGACGACCTCGGACAATACTATACTCAAGAATATGAAGTCGAAAGGATCGTGAGGCACAAGAAAGTGGCTGATGGGTCACTTCGGTTTTATGTCAAGTGGGTTGGTTACCCACACTCGGGCAACACATGGCAAACACTGGAGGACTTGTCCCATGCACCCGAGGAGCTGAGTAAATACGGTAAACACCTCGAGGAGCCCCAAATAAAGAGCACACGCAGGGCTCCTCGCAGGAAGCCTTCTTAAGTGTGGGAGTGTAGGAGATGGTATCTCCGACGCTGTGCTGCGCGTACTGCGCGTACTGCGCGGCGCAGTGGGTCGTGACCTGTGCTGCGCTTTGCGTTTTCACGCACCGCAGGCAGGCCACCGCAGGGTATACCTGCGGGTTGCCCCCGTTCCCCCCGTTTGTCTGGAGTTCGGTTTTATCGTGAATAAACGTAAGTGCTCCCCGAGCTCACCCGTCCGCTAGAGTAGCCTAGCACCGCCCTGTTCTGCCCCGTCCTGTCTTGTCTTGTACCCCCTCCCTCCCCGTCTTGCCCCAACGTCCCAGTAGTGGACGTTACAGCAGGAGGCAAGGCAGGGAGGATCTCGGGCTCGGCTGGGGACTCGGCTGGGGACTTGGCAGGAACAATCTTGGACGCGGGCAGGGACACGGCAGGCTCGGCGGGGACCTCAGCAGGAGACTCGGCAGGCGGCTCGGCAGGGCTGGACCTAGAGGACTGTGGCTCGGGAGAGAACGGGGAGGCCAAACTGTGGATAGAGGTGCAAGGCAAGAAAATAGAGTCATGGTGCCAGTCAAAGTAGGGTTTGTGTTTCTTGATCCAATCCATACCCAAGATGATCGGGTATGAAGCCAAGGGAATCAGCGCGAACGAGATTTGTTCATAGTGGCTGATGCCTGTGATCATAGAAACACAAACTCCAAGACTAGACTCCATCGAAGAACCATCGGCAAGAGTGATGACGAAAGAAGTTTCAAAGGTGGGGAGAGCGTGGGTTGCGGCGAATCCAGTGTCCATAAACGAAGTAACCGCGCCGGTATCGATCATGGCGGTTGCCCGTATGGACTCTGGACCGCACAGCAGAGTCACAGCGAGGGATGGCTGACGTTGGATGTCAGGCTCGGGAGGCGAAGACGAAGAAGCAAGAGCGGTGGAAGCGGTGGCAATGGTGACGGGGGCAAGATGGCAAAAGGCAGAAGAGTGATTTACCGTGGAGACATTTACAGGAGGAAGATTTATGACATGATTGACGCCTAGGAAAGCTCCTCCGACCTTTTCTAGGCAGAGAAGTTTTCCTGGTCGTCAAGTTTATTCACATCAACGACAGCCAAAGAAGCATCGATGGCAGCCAAGCGGGAGGATGCCTTATTGGGGCAGCGAAGGGCAATGTGCCCTTCCTGCTTGCAATAAAAGCAGCGGTTGGCAGCACGGAGGGCGGCCTTGTCCTCGGCGGTCAGCCTGCGAGCGGAAGCCTGACTGAGGTCCATGGGCTGGGGAACGTTGAAGGCTTGAGCGGGGCGAGGAGGAGGAGCAGGAGCGAAGGGACGAGGAGCCGGACGGAAAGGGAGAGGAGCCGGACGAGCAGGAGCAGGAGCAGGAGCGGAGCGGTGGTTGGGACGGCGGGAGCGTTGGTCCTCCTGGCGGTTGTCGATGGCGATCGCCGCTTGCATGAGATCTTCGAGGTTGTCGAAGGAGCGGCGGGAGAGTTCATCTTGAACCGAGGGCTTGAGTCCACTCTCGAAGTGGAACATGAGAGGGTCTTGGGACCAAGTGACGAGGTGGACGGCTTGGCGGCGGTACTCGGCGGCATAGGCGGCGGCGGAGGTGACTTGGTAAAGCCTGACCATCTCGCGAGCAGCGGCGATGGTGGGCTGGACCTGGCCAAAGGCAGCACGGAGCCACTCGGAGAAACCGGCAAAGTCACGGATGGCAGGGGGAGAGCACTCGGGGTCTCTCTCCAACTGATCGATGTACGGCTGCATGTAGTCTGCAGCAGTACCATCGAGATAGGATAAGGCGTAAAACACCTTATCCCTTTCAGTCTGGAAGAGGGGAGGGTTGGACACGAAGGCCAGTCTGCAATGCGAGAGGAAGGCATTGCAGCGGCTCGGGTCCTTACCAGAGAAGCGGTCGGGAGGACCTATCTGCCTGGTGGCAGAGTTGCGACCAGCAGGGTTGTCCTCGGGGTCTTGGGCAGGATCATCGACGTCGTCAGGTACGCCGAAGTAGGGGCGACCTGCACGACGGATCGGGGCGGGAGCGGGAGCAGGAGGAGGTAGCTGGGCCTGGTAGCTGCGGAGGGCCTCCTGGACACTGGCGGCGACAACTTGGCGGACATCCTCTTCACGGCGAGCCAGGACCTGGTCCATACGATCGGTGATGCGGTTGAGCGCATCATCCTGATCGTGGAGGAACTTGGAGAAGTCCTGGAGAGAACGGGCGTTCTCGGCGGACTGGATAATGACCGCACGGATGGCCTGGAGCTCGGGCTCGGAAAGGCCAGAAGGGGAAGCCATTGGTAAAAGAGATAGAGAAGGGAACGGGGGCAAAGGCAGGGCAAGTGGGGGGTTGTTGAAGGTCTTGCCAAGTGTCAAGACTGGACAACGGGGCAAGCAGGGAAGTGCGCAAGAGTCCTAATACAAGACTCGAACGTAGGGAGAGGAGCGGGGACTGGACTGGGACACAGAGTGTCAAGTGTAAAGCCAAAGTTTTATTCTAGATCCAAGGCTTAGGATACTAAAAATACAAAGTGGCAAGACGAAGGCAAAAGACAGAGGCTGGTCGGAGGGCTATTTATGCGAGCGCCAAGGATCGACGCTGGAGAGCGAGGGGGTAGGAGCGAAGCAGCGGCGGGGAGGGCGAAGCAGCGAGCGAAGCAGGTGGCGACCGTGACTCGGGATCCGTGAGTCAGCGGGCGTCAGTGGCGGCGGCATGGCGGCGCCAAGGCGTCAGGCGGCGTCGAGGCGGCGTCGTGGGCGTAACCCATGACCAACAGCAAGGAAGCGGGAACGGAACACAGACAGCGCGCGTGCTGGCGGTAAGACAACAAGGCAGCACAGCGCGGGAAACAAACAAACAGAAGGAAGGGAAAGCACTAAGACAGGCAAACAGAAAGGAAAGGGCAAGGGTAAAGGAAGGAAGAGGGCAAAGGCAGAGGGTGTTCATGACACGGGCAAACCGTACCGATCGATAGTCTGTGTGCCGGGCAAACCATACCGATCGATAGCCTGGAACCTGGGTGGCTCCAATTGATGCGCAGCTGTAGCATACCAGCCACTAGCTGGCTCGATCCTGAGGACCAATGGATTTCTGGTCATTGCCTTGCACTGCCACGCACATGACTGGCACCGCCCCCATCGCCACCAATGAACAAATATTTTGTTACCCAATGCTATCGCGCGCTGGCTATGACCATTCTGTGATGCGGTGCTGTCACTCATAGCCTGCGCAAGGTTGCCTCCATATTCAGCGTGTCCAAGAGTACCATCCATCGCTGGCACTCCGAGACCAGTGTGCAGGTCGATTGTGGAGACCGGAGAGCGACCGGTGGTCTTCACTCGGAGGCTGCCGAGGTGATTTGATGTATTTCTTGTGGCTTTGCTTGACGCATGCCATCACATACTACATGTTCATGGAGACGGCTGTGGTGTCCCGTTTTTTCTGAATATAGTGTATTGGGTCGACTGTATGCGCCTGCAGTGACGCAACTTCGATGCTCGCTAGCTAGATCGTAAGTCTCTCGCGATACTGAGACAATAAAGCACCCCACATCATGACGAGTCCTTTCTTAAAAAGGAACAGATGAAGGATAACCAAAATGAATGAGTGGCAATGAGCAATATAGGCTCGGGGAAGGCTTTCCATCGAGACAAGGTCAGTCGTCATCCAGGAGTCTGGCATCGACTGAGTGGATTTCCACTCACGGAACCAGCCGAACACAATTTCATCTGCAGCATACAGTAGTTCTGCAGAAGATATTCCAGGGACTGACTTGATTGCCTCGGTGAGCACAGCATCGGCGTCGATGAGCTGGTGAACCGTCTTGAAGTTGGCGGGGTTGGGATCGACAGGCTCGGCAAAGGCAGCCTTGAGGGCGGCCACATCGAGCTTCTGGAAGGACCAGCGTTCGTCGGGAAGCTCCTCGATCACAGGAGCAGCAGGCTTAGACTTGGGCTTGGGCTTGGTTTCCGCGATAGGCGCATTCATGATATCTATGAAACCTCGAGTCATAGCCCGGATAGCCTCAGGATCGCGGAGGCCAGCCTGAACACAAGACTCCAGCTTGTCGATCGCACGCAACTTCTGCTGGCCCTGCAAGAATTGCTGGAAGAGTGAATTCTTCTCCTCCAATGGGATGGCCGAGACCAGAAGGGAGTTGATGTCGGGATCGTCTTCGGCCCGATCTTGGACGTCGCGCTTTCTCTTCAAGGAGACGGTGGCATCCTTGCTCGACACAGCGGTCGGGGTAACTGTGGGTTCTGTGTGATATGCGGGGTGGTGTGAGTCAATCGCCGTCAAAACGCAATGGGCAATAGCGGATCCCCGGTGGATGGGCACAAATCCAGCATACTCACCAGCGGCAACAGCAACGTCCTCCATTTCAAGTTCGCCTTGGTCGACAACGATCGTGTCTTCGTCGAGCTCGAACTGGTTCTCATCGGCGGATGCAAAACTTTCCTGTTCGGATCCACTGTAAATGACAGTGCTACCGACCTCGGATGGGAGCCCGATGCCAGGGAGATGCTCCTCGACAGGAGCATCGTGGACCGGCTGGACTGGAGCATCGACAGGAGCATCGTCGACCGGCTGGACTGGAGCATCGGTGAGATCGTCCATGATGCTGTCCTCGCAGGGATCGGATTCGAACTCGGAGTCAGACTTGGAATTGAGATCGGAATCCAACATGAAGTCGGAGTCGTTATCGGCCTCGGACTTCACCTTGAACTCGGAAACGGTGTTGGAATCGGCATCGGCATCGGCATCGGCATCGGAATCGGCATCGGCATCGGCATCGGCATCAGACTCGGTGAGGTCGATCAAAACCACAGAAGCGCGAGACTGGGGCTCCGCGCGAGCCGCTGGGGTCGCTGGAGTAGCGGGAGCCGTTGGGGGAGCATGTGCTGTCATAGTCGCTGGGTCAGTAGGAGCCTTAGGAGCCGCCGGGGTCGCTGGAGTAGCAGGAGCCGTAGGGGGCGCGCGAGCCGTCGCGAAACCCAAAGGAGCTGCAGAGGCAGTTGGGATCGTAAGAGCCACGGGAAACGTCGTGACCGTAGGAGCAGTAGGAGCCGCTGAGGCAGTTGGGATCGTAAGAGCCACGGGAAACGTCGTGGGTGCAGCAGTCCAGAGGCCATGCTGGGGATTAGGGCGAATGAACCAAAAACCATCCACAGTGTCCATCGTTCTCATGATGGTAAAGTTGGAATCAACAACAAGACCCAAGTACATGGAGAATGGCATGAAAACGGGATAATGGTGCGATGGATGAATCAGGATACGGGGGATAGGGACATCCTTAGAAGCTGAGATGCGTTTGCCCTCGAATGCGTTGAATCTCGCACGGGGGGTGATGATGCGATAATCACTCATGGAGTGCTGAAGGAAGAATGGGGCGATGCGGCCGCATTCGGTGGCATCAAAGGGGCAGACGAGAGTGGCATACACATGGCAAACGGCGATCAACTCAGAGTCGTCACCAAAGAGATCAAGATGATGGCAGATATCCTTCTGGAAAATGGCGCGGGTGTAATACTCCTCGTTCTTCTTGATCAAGCCGCGGATAGTTCCACTGAGCCCGACCAATTCGGGGAATATGCGCACCACGGTGGACTCGTACTTGAGGAAGCACTCCAAAAGGAAGAAGATGTAGCGACGAGCGAGGATGATGTGCTCGGTGCACCAGACAAACCCGGTGAGGACAGGATGGCCGGTGCGGTTCTCTTGGTCACGGCGATTGATGTAAGGGTTGATCATTTCGTATGTGATGTTCCAGTGATCCTGTTGATTGATCGTCCTACGAACTGGGACGCCGAATGGGGCCTTATTGGGCCAGACAGCCAGAGGATTGAGCTGGCCGTCCTTGGGGGGGAAGGGTGCGAGGACAGTGCTCTTGGGGATGAAGAACATTGGGAGGGTAGATCAGAGGACAGAAGGGAAGACTGCGAGGGCGAGCGAAGCGCTCCCGGTGGCAGCGGGCTTTATGAGGGGGGTATGGGCTGCTGGCGTCGACGGGGGGAGACATGTCGCGCCGAGGCCAACCTCCGCCCGGTGCGATATGGTGGACCCTGTCCTCTGGCATGCGCAGCAGGCTCTTTCGCCTTTCCGCCGCCCAATGCATGTGATGCCAGGCCAGTCGTATACGTCCCCCCGTCGCTCCGCGCTCTCGGTACCACCCATGGCCCAGAAGATTCGGAAGAGACTCGGAAGAGACGTATCGAGTGGTCGGAAGAGACTCGGAAGAGGAATTTTTCATGGAGTGTGTTATTATTATCATCTCACACTGAAAACATGGAGAGAATACCACCGCGGAACTCACTCGGAAGTGATTTGGAAGTGAATATGGAGTGAGAAGCTCTTTTGGGGGCCGGTTGGGGGCATTGGAGAAGAAAAAACAAAAATTTTCAAGAAAAAAAAGATATTCCTGGCCGGGAAGGATTTGGGGCCCACGCTCGCATTCATGGAGTGGACTCGGAAGAGACTCGGAAGTGAAGCTCGCTCGATAAACATGGTGTGGGGCTGAAAACTCGTAAGAGACTCGGAAGTGAAACGTCGTCGCTTGTGAGCGGGTTGGAAGAGGATTGGAAGAAGGTGTGTGCACTCCATTCACTGCATGCATGCCTCGCGAATGAGCCTCTCATAGTGAGACCAAAGAGCAGCACCATCGTTCTGGGCCATGAGTGATCGCTTGAGCAAGTCGATCAACATGGCTTGAACCCGGGGGTCGTTTCTGGCTGCGATGATGTGGTCCAGAGGAATGATATCATTCCAGTTCTCAGGGCGATCCCAGGGATGAAATGCACTGGAGGAAATGCTGAGGATTTGCTGGCGTGCTATCATGCTACCATCCCTGTACGCACTGAGTAGGCTGTACTGATAGAACGTCTTGCAGTTTATCGATCGAGGGAACCCAATTGCGTGCTTCATGCAGTAGAACCTCAGGAGGTTCCTGTCCCTTTCAGGGAGACTGTGTCCCGACGATTCCGACAACCAATGCCAGACGGACGATGCATGGGGCGCATCTCGAATATACCCGTATTGGCAGATGTTGTAGATTTCCTGGACAGTGCTGCGATACCCGGCGCGGGCGCATTCGACCAGGAGATCCAAGGCCTGGGTCGGGTTCAAATCAGTACCTCTGCCATATCGATAGCATTCGTGGAGAGTGAATTTGACCTTCAGTTTGGATGTGTCCAACGACTTGAGCCACTGAAAGTACGCCTGGTTGATCTCTTCAGATGGTGATCCGAGGAAAAATTTGCGATGTTCGAGGAGGAAGTCGTCGAGCACCTCGGATTTGTTGCGCAGGACGGAAAGGCTTTTGCTGATGCATTCATCATTCCAGACCTTGTCCTCAACCACCCACATCGCAGTGGGGACGTGCTTGACCTCGAGGAGTCGTCGTACGATCTGGATTTCGGAGTTGTCTCGGCGGATACGAGATGCGACTCGGACGAACTCGGCTGAAACCACGGATCTCGGAATGGACTTGAGCCACTTGAGGTTGAAGGGAATCGATCCAGCGGGGAAATACTTGACCAGCTGGGCGCAGTCGGCAGAGAGAAGTCTGGTGTGGTGTTGCTTGTCGAACCACTCGGCCCAGATACGAATGCCCACAGTCTTGGTCGAGAGCAGAGTCCTCACGTCGCTGGAAGTTGCCTTGAGCTTCACGAGACTGCAGGCAGGGAGCATCTCGATCAGCTCGGGGATCGAGAGGACGGCCAGGAGGACAGGGTATGTCTCTTCGATTCCCAAGGAGATCAGCTGCTCATGGAGGCGTTGGCGCTTGGCAGCACGGGTGCTCATCGAGCGGGTGATGCGCTTGGTAGCCTGGGAGGACATGGCGATGAAGGAGAGGTGGTTGGGATCGATGGGGCATGGACGCACCAGCAGCGACCTCATATACCCCATGCCCAGCGGCGCCTGGGAGACGATGGTGGCCAGGCGACAGGGTGTCCAAGCCCAGCCCGTATCTCCGCCGTCGCCAGCGCATGGGGCGGGATCCCGGCATGGAGTGCGTATGCGCCACTACCGGTCTCCACCGAGAATCCCGGCCTCTTCATGACACCACTCCATTGCCCATTGCCACGGCACACATGCTCCACTCCATGGTGATATTTTTCATTGGTTATGGAGAGGAAAAGTATATTCAGTTCTTTTGATTTCATGAATGTATGGAGTGATCTCGTCGAGTGCCAAAATGTCTCGGTGGAGACGGGAAGCCCCCTCTTTTTTTATGGAGAGGGGACCGGTGGAAACGGGTGAGAACAGTAACAAATTCCAGATTTCAGACCGTTTTGAATAAAAAAGTGAATTTGAAAAAAACGAAAAATTTGCATTTGCGTTTTTTTGGGCCAAAGGTCCGGGGAACGACCGGCACTCCATCGTTCACCACCCTCTCACCCGTTTCCACCGAGGAAAAATGACCACACTGAGATCATGGAGAGGAAAAGTGCTTCGCCCAGCAAACACTCCATTCCATCAGGATGTCCTCACCCGTTTCCACCGGCCATTTCTACCTCTCCACGATTCGTGAGTTGTACGCTCTTGTGCATTAGATTTTGGTATTCATGGAGTGGGTGTGTCGGGGTTGTGCATTAGATTTTGTATGGAGTGAGTGGTATTTGTACATTCCTTGGTTCTCAAGGAGTGATGTTGTCGAGTGAGGGTGTGGTTGTGTCGGTGCTGTGTATTAGAAATGGATTTCATGGAGTGAGGATCTTGTCGTCGCTGCCAGCTACCCCAAAATACAGAAAATTCAAAAAATTTCAATTTCTTTCCTGACCAGGGGTTTCAGCCAGCTCATCCAGGACCCATGGAGTGAGGTGGGTTTCAGAGCGAACAAGACCACTCCACGAACCATGGAGACGTTTCGGGTCGTGTGTATTAGAGCGGATCAGCTGTGCATCAGGCATGGAGTGGGACGTGCATCAGGACGACGGATTTCTGCATGAGCCGTGGAGTGGGCGTGTATTACGGGCGCGACAGTTCCCACAACATCGGTGTGGAGTGGGATGCAATTGTAACGTCCACTACTGGGACGTTGGGGCAAGACGGGGAGGGAGGGGGTACAAGACAAGACAGGACGGGGCAGAACAGGGCGGTGCTAGGCTACTCTAGCGGACGGGTGAGCTCGGGGAGCACTTACGTTTATTCACGATAAAACCGAACTCCAGACAAACGGGGGGAACGGGGGCAACCCGCAGGTATACCCTGCGGTGGCCTGCCTGCGGTGCGTGAAAACGCAAAGCGCAGCACAGGTCACGACCCACTGCGCCGCGCAGTACGCGCAGTACGCGCAGCACAGCGTCGGAGATACCATCTCCTACACTCCCACACTTAAGAAGGCTTCCTGCGAGGAGCCCTGCGTGTGCTCTTTATTTGGGGCTCCTCGAGGTGTTTACCGTATTTACTCAGCTCCTCGGGTGCATGGGACAAGTCCTCCAGTGTTTGCCATGTGTTGCCCGAGTGTGGGTAACCAACCCACTTGACATAAAACCGAAGTGACCCATCAGCCACTTTCTTGTGCCTCACGATCCTTTCGACTTCATATTCTTGAGTATAGTATTGTCCGAGGTCGTCTTCCAGTGGTGCGTCGTCCGGGACACCTTCGTCGGCGTCGGGGAACTGTGCTGGACTGCGGGTCGTGTGGCGACGCAGCTTGGACACATGGAAGACAGGATGGAGCTTGCTTCCAGGTGGCAAGTCCAACAGGTAGTTGAGGGGACTGGGTCGGGCCGCTATCTTGAACGGTCCTCGGTACTTGGGCAACAACTTCTTTGACTGGGCTTCGGGGACCTTGATGTTGTCGGCGTCCAGGTAGACAAGGTCTCCAACTTCAAAGGAGACATCCTGGTGTCGGCGGTCGTAGTACTTCGCCATCACTTGTTGCGCATCCGTGAGCGCGTCGGCGATCATCTTGTGTCGGACTTGATGATCTTTGACAAAGGCACTTGGTTTGGGAGGCAATCCAGCCGTGGACTCGGTCAGTGTCAAGGAGGTGGGAACATCAGGCTGGAATCCGTAGAGCGCCTCAAAGGGGCTCAAGCCAGTTGTGCTCGACTTGGCGGTGTTGTATGCAAACTCTGCATGACTCAGCTGTATGTCCCAGTCGTCTTGGCTGGTCGAGGCGTATGTCCTCAGGTATTGCTCGAGGGTGCGGATCGTCCGCTCGGACTGTCCATCCGTTTGTTGGTGGTGCGAGGTTGACATGTTCAGCTTGGTGCCGAGATGGTCGAACAGACTTGTCCAAAACAAGGAGGTGAATCGGGGGTCTCGATCACTGACGATGGACTTTGGGAGGCCGTGGTGCTTGAACACATGCTTGAAGAACAGCAGTGCAAGGTCAGGCGCGGAGCATGTCGTCTGGCACGGCACAAAGTGTGCCATCTTGCTGAACCTGTCGACAAAGACAGCGATTGCATCGTGGTCCAACTTGGTCGTCGGTAGATGCGTGATGAGATCCATGGACATGCTGGTCCAGGGGCGGTCGGGAACAGGCAGGGGTTGCAGCAATCCTTGCTCTCGGGTCGTGCGTGACTTGACCATCTTGCAGGTATGGCAGGACTCGATGTACTTCTCGACGGTGCGCTTCATTCCAGGCCAGTATGCGACTTTGGCCAGTCGGTCGTATGTCTTCTCGACTCCAAAGTGTCCAGCGAGGGGCGAGTCGTGGACCTCTTGGAGCAACTTGGTCTTCAACGACGGAATGTCCGGCACACAGACACGGCTGTCCTTCTTCAGGAGGAGCAGGCCATCACGCACTGTGTACTCGGATGATTCGTCGTCCTTGGGGAGCTTAGACACCTTTCGGAACAGTTCTCCGAACTGTTTGTCGTTGGCGATGTTGTCTCGGACAACATCCAGCATCGTGTTGTCGACACTGACAGTCGACTCGTACAGTGACGCCAATTGGTAGTCGGGGCGTCGGGACAGTGCGTCAGGCACCACATTGAGTTTGCCTTTCTGGTATACAACCTCGTAGTTGTACTCGGCGAGGAACTCCATCCATCGCGCTTGGCGTCGGCTCAGGTTCTTCTTGGTGTCGAGGTAACGCAGTGACTGGTGGTCCGTCACAATCTTGAAGGGCTTGGCGGTACCGTGGAGGTACACTCGGAACTTCTGCAGCGCGTAGATGATCGCAAGCTGCTCCTTCTCGTGCACGGGATAGTTGATCTCGTGTTGGGACAGTTTGCGCGACTCGAAGGCAACGGGCCTTCCCTCCTGCATCAAAACAGCTCCCACCGCAAGGTCGGAGGCGTCGGTGTGCACGGAGACATCCGTGTTCGGGTCGAACACAGCGAGGACAGGAGCGTTCGTCAAGGCGTGCTTGAGGGTCTCGAACGCTTGGCGTTGTGGGTGGTCCCACACGAAGGGGCACTCTTTGCGGAGTAGGTCTGTGAGTGGACCGGCAGTGCGCGCCAGATCGGGGATGAATCGGCGGTAGTAGTTGACGAGACCGAGAAACGACTGCACGTCAGAGACGCATGCGAGCGGCGGCCACTCGACCACAGACTTGACCTTGGCGGGGTCGACTTCGATTCCTCTTCCTGAGACAACGTGTCCCAGGAACGGGACTTGATTCTTGAAGAACTCACACTTGGACAGTTTGGCATACAACTTGTGCTCGCGTAGCTTGGCCAGCACGCGGGCGACATGACCTTCATGGGTCGCTTCATCCTTGCTGTACACAAGGATATCATCCAGGTACACGATGACAGAGTTGTCGAGCTCTTGGCGGAACACATCGTTCATCAGCTGCATGAACGTGGCAGGTGCGTTCGTCAATCCGAACGGCAGCACTAGGAACTCGTACAGTCCGTAGCGAGTCCTGAAGGCGGTCTTGTGGACATCATCCTCGTGGATGCGGATCTGATGGTAGCCTGAGCGGAGGTCTATCTTGCTAAAGACCTTTGCTCCACTCAGACGATCCATCAACTCGTCGATCCTGGGCAACGGGTAGGTGTTCTTGATGGTCTGTTTGTTTAGTGCGCGATAGTCGACGCACATCCTGAGATCACCTTCTTTCTTCTTGACAAAGAGCACTGGTGCACCATACGGTGACTGGCTCGGGCGGATGAACCCATGGGCGAGGAGGTCATCCAACTGGCGCTTGAGTTCGTCCATCTCCGTCAGCGACAGTTGGTACGTCGGTCTTGACGGAGGCGACGAGCCTGGTTCGATGTCGATGCGATGATCGACGGTGCGTTGGGGTGGCAGGCATTGTGGCAACTGGTCGGGGAATACGTCCTTGTACTCGTCGAGCAGCTTGGTCACCACAGGCGGGGGACCGGGACCGGCTTGGTCGGTGTCGTCGACCTCACGCACGACACAGAGGAACGACGTGTCCTTCTTGATCAGCCTCTTGAATTGCATGGCTGAGAGGAGAGGTGGCATGTTGGGTGAGGCCATGCCCTGCAGGACAATGTCAGGGCCAACACGGACAGTGCGGCCTTTCCAGTCGACGACTGGAGTCGGCTCGGCACGAGCAAGCCAGCTCATGCCGAGGATGGCATCGAACTTGGTGTCGATCACTTGGAACAACAGGACAGGATGGTACTTGGGATGGAGGGCCACTCGCAGGACCACTTGGTGTGTGCACTGCTGCACACGATCGTCTGCAAGCGCCACACTCATCGGCGACTTCTTCTTGGTTGCATGTATGTTGAGCTCCTGGAGCAAGCGTCTGCTGACAAAGTTGCAGCTTGCTCCAGAGTCCACCATCATTCGGACGGTGTGACCTTGGACGGTGGCAGGGAGGTACAGCAGGGACTCTTCATGGTCCTCCTGCACAGCCTCCTGCACCATGACTTGACTTGGGGGAACGGGCGACACTTGGTCTTGGTTGGCTTCATCACGGCCACTCGGACATTTTGGATAGGGTTCGGCCATTGCGGGGGCCTGCGGCGTCA